GTGCATGTAAACGCAGTAACCCGGTTATGGCAGTGTCCCGGTTATTAGAAACCGAGTTACTGTAGCTGGTTTATTCCGATAGTAACCGGGTTACTTGTGTCATGTAAACGCAGTATCCCGGTTACTGCAACATAAAGTTGAGTGCGCATGCGTCCAAAAGACACTTTCCAGCCTTTCACCACAACAGTAGTGACATAAATAAATTGACCAACATAAATAAATTGACCAACATAAATAAAGTGACCAAACGAGTGAAATGACTGTAAAATAAAGAGCTGCGCTAAACCTGCACACGTACAATCTGCACTCGTACGACCTGCACTCGTGTGACGCTGAAAAGCTAAAACATGAACTATCTCCTATACTCTATATGCACGGAACACACTTACCATCATTAGCACCTCTTCTGTCACAGAAATAACACACATAATCCACAGAGTCGTGTCATTTAGTCCAAAAGAAACTGATCACATCAGCGGCACAAGGAGCGAGTTGTTTTTTATCGCCCCACTAACAGTTTATGCTAATTAGCCAAACGGTCTTAAGTTTCGTTTCTGTAAAACGTAAACAAATGTGATCAGAGCTGAATGATCTGATCAAACGGGCTGATGTGTCTATAGTGTTTATGGTTTATATGTTGTAAAGTTGAGTTTATTTATGCAGAAGATTTTAATGAAGAATCTGCACAGTGGATTGTGGGAGATCTCGTAGCTCCTTAGCTTCTTATGCTAAAGGAGCTCACGGTTTGTATTTTTCCTGGTTTATGAAATTGATTTAAGTTAATTTTTGCGCTTTTGTAAGATTATGTCAAGAAACCGGGACACTCCATTTGATCATGTACACTCAGCGCGCATGTAAACACAGTAACACCAACACTGTACGGTTTGTCTTGAGTGTCCAGAAAGGTAAATAAAATGCATTATTAATGAGTGTGTATACATGCACATCAATAACCCGGTTATTAGCCATACCCCGGTTCTGTCAAACAGCAATTAAGACACATAATTAAAACATATAATAATAATAATAATAATAATAATAATAATGTCTGTGATGGGTCTGTGCTGGTGTAAATAAACTCCTCCTTTGTTCAATGTCTTTTACTTTTCAGCTCTTGGGTTTCAGTGTCCCTCGTTTATCGCGGGGGTTATGTTCTAAAAATAACCCGCCACAGGTGAAATCCACGAAGTATCAACTTTATATTTTACAATTAATTTATCTGTTTTATACGACGGAGTTTAAGGGTCAGATAAAAAAATAAAAAAAACATGCTGGCGCTACGAGAATAAAGTCATAACATTTTGATATTAAAGTCGTAATATTATGAGAATAAAGTCGTAGTCAAAATAAAGTCATAATATTGTGAGAAAATCAGCTGCTCGTGGAAAATGGAGAATTTGGAGCATTTTCTAAAGGAGAAAAATCCGTGTATCATTCGTTCATTCGACTGAACAAGGACTGAATCAGGACTAAATCAAGTCTGGAACCAAACCAGAAAGACCAGGATTGAGACCGGGACCAGACCAGGACTGAAAACGGTTTAGTCCTAGTTTAGTCCTGGTTTAAGTCATGGAAATGGGAAATGGCGTTTACGTGACTTTAAAATGCGATGCAGGAATATTGCGCCGCATACGGACTGAACCAGGACTGAACCAGGACTGAACCAGGACTGAACCAGGACTAAACCAGGACTAAACCGTTTTCAGTTCTTGTCTGATCCCGGTCTCAGTCTTGGTCCCTGACTCAGTCCTTGTCTAAGTTCTGGTCTCAGTCCCGGTCTGGTCTCAGACCTCGTTTAGTCCTGGTTCAGTCCTGGTTTAGTCCTGGTTCAGTCCTGTTTAGTCTGGTTTAGTCCTGGTTCAGTCCTGGTTCAGTCCTGGTTCAGTCCTGGTTCAGTCCTGGTTCAGTCCTGGTTCAGTCCAGAGGCGCAAATAATGAAGAAAATTGTTGTTCGTTTTCTTATTTTTGGTTTTATATTGAAAAACAAAGTTCTTCTTCTGCAGCATTTTTCACTTTGACTTTGATTTTATTACGACTTCATTCTCGTAATATTATAACTTTATTTTAACTTCGACTTTATTCTCATAAAATTACGACTTTTTCTGGCTTTCGACTTTATTCTTATAATATTACGACTTTAATGTCGAAATGTTACGACTTTATTCTCGTAGCGCCAACATTTTATTTTTTTTATCTGACCCTTAAACTCCGTCGTAGTTTTAAGGCTGTAAAACCTCAGCACAAACTTCATTCACTTTTCTCACACAGGACACTTACATCCTTCTTAAAACTTATTGCTGCTGTCGTCCTTTAGTTATTTTCCTCCTTCTTTATGTAATGAACTGAAGATTCATTTATTCTGTAATAGAGGCTTTGCACCGTCACGTGTCCCTCATGGCAACGGTAACTACGCCGCCATGACACCGGACACACTATGTCACTGACTTCAGTAACATCGGAGAAACATGGGCAGGTTTTGTTGTGTATTTGGTTGTTCTAGACGCTCTGAAAGGAATAAAACAAATCGTTTCTTCACTGTTCCTCTGGAAATGACTCATCAGGATCAAACAAGGGAATTATCAAAAAAAAAAGACGCGGATTATAGCAGCAAAAATAAACCACGAAGAGATTTCCAATGGTCCCATCAAGACACCTGAAGTTTCATCAAGGTATTTGTTATTTAAATTGTTTCATAGTTTATTTAATGAGAGAAGCACATTTACTGAACTAAAATGTCATTAATTTATCCAGGAAAACCCGCACTAGTTTATGATTCAGCGAACTCACACTGGTCTCCTGTGATCAACACGACGCACGAGTCGAAAAGTCTGTGAGCCGAACCTCGAAAGAATCGACCATGAAAAGATCCTCGCGAACGTTAGAAAGATCCACTCACAAAAAGAGATTAATTCTAGAAGACAAAGTTGTGGATAAACAAGACAATAAAGAAAACATGGTGCTACGACGAGTGACATGTTTATATGTGCTGGAAGATACAGTTTCTACTGCAAATGTTTTCTTTTTACATTTTAGTTCAGTAAATGTGCTTCTCTCATTAAATAAACTATGAAACAATTTAAATACAGCAAATACCTTGATGAAAGTGACGTGAGTGTGTCTTGATGGGACCATAGGAAATCTCTTCGTGGTTTATGTTTCTAGACATAATTCCTGTTTTGTTTTTTCAATAATTCCCTTGTTTGATCCTGATGAGTCATTTCCAGAGGAACAGTGAAGAAATGAATTCATTTTATCCCTTTCAGAGCGTCTAGAACAACCAAATACACAACAAAACCTGCCCATGTTTCTGCGATGTTACTGAAGTCAGTGACATAGTGTGTCCGGTGTCATGGCGGCGTAGTTACCGTTGCTATAAGGGTCACGTGACGGTGCAAAGCCTCTACAGCGCAGAGTCCATTTTTGGAGACCCACACCTGCGCAGTACAGGACCGCACCCGCCCGTTAACCCGAAATTAGATCAAACTTTTGCGCTGCATGTTTTTACAGTCTATGAACGCGCGGTGTGCTCCTCCCCCTGCGTCCTGATTGGCTGTAGACCACTGTCAGTCAATCTCCACTGTGCCGCGTCTCCTGTTCAGTGCAAAACGTGTTCAGTTTGGCAAATTTACATAAATGTTGGATCTCTCGCCGTGTGATTCTGAAAAAAGTTTCTCACTGACAAAACCCACAATGGTGACGAAACGTTCTGCACCAACAATTTGGTCACACTCAAAAGGCAGAGGACGATGTAACCATCACACAAAAAGTTGGACTTCTGGACACGCTGAAGGAAGAGAGAAGTTACACGGCTGTGGCAGAGTCCTGCACCAGGTCTGGTACGAGCAAATAGTTGCTGAAAGGGGCGGCAGTAGCTCAGTTGGTAGAGCACTGATCTGAAGGTTGGCGGTTCGATTCCAGCTCCCACAGATGAATGCTGTCGTTGTGTCCTTGGGCAAGACACTTAACCCACCTTGCCCACAGTGTCTGCGTACACTGGTGTATGAATAGGTGAGTGGTTCCTTGTTGTAAAGCGCTTTGAGTGCCTTAAAGGTGGAAAAGCGCTGTAGAAAAATGTGACCATTTACCAAAGCGGGGGTTTTAACATTGTGGAATTTTATGGGCGGGTATGCGGACAGGTCAGGACCAAACCAGGACTAAACCAGGACTAATCTTGGATTCAAGAGAGAGAACACCGAAGCACGGTGTCCGCAAAGTGTGATCAGGCGATGGCCGCTCTTACCTCCGTGAGGTGCAGAGCTGAGTCAGTTTCTCCTCCGAGCCCGTCCCGACAGTGAGTCCTGGTTCAGTTCTGGTTTAGTCCTGGTTTAGTTCTAGTTCAGTCAGTCCTGGTTTAGTCCTGGTTTAGTCCTGGTTTAGTCCTGTTTTAGTTCTAGTTCAGTCCTGGTTTAGTGCTCCTCTTCAGTCCTGGAATCAGTCCTGGTTTAGTCTTGGTTCAGTCCGTGGTGTAGGCAGAGCAAAAATTTGATATAATTTCGGGTTAACGCGCAGGTGCGGGCAGGTGCGGTCCTGTCCTGTGCCGGTGTGTGCAGGACTCTGTGCTCTGCCATTACGGAATAAACAAATCTTCAGTTTGTTACATAAAGAAGGAGGAAAATAACAAAAGGACGACAGCAGCAGTAAGTTTTAAGAAGGAAGTAGAAAGTGTTGAAACTGTCCTGTGTGAGAAAAGTGTATGAAGTTTGTGCTGAGGTTTTACACTCTTAAAACAGATAGAATAATTGTAAAATATAAAGTTGATACTTCGTGGATTTCACCTGTCGCGGGTTATTTTTAGAACATAACCCCGTGATAAACGATGGACACTGTAATCCTTTTCATCAGGAGTTTGGTGTTTTACAGAATTCATTTTTATTCAGAATTAAAGCTCAGGTCAACGTGGTAAATGTGACTTTTGGCTCAGAATGATTGACTCTCCTCTTCCCTCCTGCACAAACTTTCAGAGGGTGAACCGCAGCTCTCTTTGTCTGTCTTGTCTCTAGCAGCGGACGCACGGCGGAGGTGTCGCGGCGGCGCTTTGTCCCCGCTGCCGCCGTGACAGCGAGGGGTCAGGGGTCGCGGGGGCGGTGATGTCATCGGGAGGCGACAGATGGAGCGGCGACAGCGCTCGCGGGGACACCTTCGGTCTGAGGGACAGTGACGAGACGCTAATGGTCCGGGCGGGTCGGAGGTCGCGCCAGACGTTTATCACACAGACAGCGCCCTCTACGGACACGTCAGCGCGACTCCGGTGTGTCTGACACGTCTTTGTCAAGTGCACGGCCTCAAGGAGACGACAGAAACTCTGCGGTGTTAGAAAAGTGAAGCTCAAAAGGATCGACAATCAGATACCAAAACTAGTATCGAAATTAGACACTCATTTGAGCAGGTATCGATCCATTTTTTTAATAAATCTGCAGATCTAGTTCTTTTATTTAAGACATTTTCTTCTGTGTTGGGGACGAGGATAAATGGAAAGTTATGGTGGATTTGTGAACTTCTGCTTTGGCTCATAATTTATTTAAACTCATTAATTACTCGTTGATTCTTTTGGTAGATCAATTTTCTTCTGCTTTATTCCCAGTTGTTTTCATTTAAATTATACTTGTTTTACTACTCATGTGTTGCTAAATTAATTGAACAGAATGCAATTTGTATGACAAAAAAACAGAGAAACCCCTGGTGAATACAAGGACTGGATGGAATTAAAAACGTCTCCAACACTGGTTCATGAGGAAATGAGGCTCTACAGTCCCTGACAAAAGTCTTGTCTCTTATCCATTTTGTAGAAACAAAAGCTTATAACCTGACTTTAAATTAATCGATTGGTTTTAGAAATGTCTCATATGAAGCTAAAACCCTCCCAAATTATGCTCAATAAACTAAAATAAATTTGCTTCACTGAAGAAAGATTGATCATTTAATGAACACAGAAAGGTCAGATTTTGGCAAAACAAAAGTTTTGTTGCTACAGAAAATTGAACAAATATTTACTTCAAACACAAAAATATGTTGCATAACGTCAGTGAATGAAGTAGTGGTGCTGTGAGATCCAGATTTAATATCTTGTATGACTCCATGAGCTTGAAGGACACATCCATGTGGTTCAACAATGATTCATACAATTTGTTGATGAAGTCATCAGGAATAGTAAAGAAAGCGTCTTACAGCCTCCCAGAGTTCATCAAGATTCTTTGGTTTTGCCTCCATGTTTCCTCTTTCATTCTACCCCAGACCTGCTCAGTGATGTTCATGTCTGGTGACTGGGCTCCAGTCCTGCAGCACCTTGATCTTCTTCACCTTGACAAACTTTGATGTAGAGATAGAAGTATGTGATGAAGCACCATCCTGCTGCAAAATGTGACCCTTTTATGGTTGGGAATGTAAGAGGAGCTAATACTTCTTGATATTTTAGGTTATTGATATTTGCCTTCCACCCTGCAAATGTCTCCCACACCCCCAGACTGGATGGAACCACAGACCAGGATTTTTCTGCCACCAAACTTAACTGTTTTCTGGGTGAATCTTGGATCCATGTGGCTCCAGTTGGTCTCCTGCAATATTTGCGGCGGCTGTGATGTAATTCAACCGAGGATTCATCTGAGAAATCCACCTTCTGCCACTTTTCCAGTGTCCATCCTTTTATCAGGCTGTGGGCCTTGGCAAATGCCACACGGTTTTTTAATTGCCTTTTGTTTAGTGCTGGTTTCTGTGCACTGATTCGACCATGGAGGCCATTTCCAGACAGATTCTACAAACTGTTGTGGTTGACACAGGGACTTGAGGTGACCAGGCCTGGTGGAGTCTGCTGCAGTGGAAAAGGGGCCTTGGATTTTTGAATCAACAAACGGTCCTCCTGAGCAGTTGTCTTGCGGCGTCTGCTGGACCTGGGCTTGTCAAAAACATCTCCAGTCATTTCAGATCTTTTTCTTCTTCTTTGTACTTGACGCTGAGACACATTGAAGGTGTCACCACCTCAGCAGTGGATCTGGTCTTCAGCCTCTTGATAATTAACGCTTTGGTCTCAGGGTGGATCTTAGGCATGTTGTCAGAGGTCAAGTTGCAGTTGATGTGAAGGTCTGGTGTGCTCAGGTTCTTTTTATACACACCCACTAATTGATTGATCAGTAACTGATCACAGGTGAAGCTGTAATCTAGGATTGGGTGCATCATATGACAAGACTTTTGTCTTGCCAAAATCTGACCTTTCTGTGTTCATTAAATGATCAATCTTTCTTCAGTGAAGAACATTTATTTTAGTTTATTGAGCATAATTTGGGAGGGTTTTAGCTTCATATGAGACATTTCTAAAACCAATCGATTAATTTAAAGTCAGGTTATAAGCTTTTGTTTCTACAAAATGGATAAGAGACAAGACTTTTGTCAGGGACTGTATGTCCAAAATTCTGGACTGTTCCCTTAAAGCTGTAGCCAGGCTGGCGCCATCTAATGTCACTGCTCAGTTTCATTTCTCTCCAGCGACTCGGTCAGGAATCAGAATACACTAGATGGTTTACAAGAACCCTGGAAGTGTGAGTCCAGGCACCAGCCAATCAGTGAAGAGTCATATATTCAGTGTTGTGAATGATTCCCGAGATCGAGGATTTAAAGCCAGAACAAAGAGAATATTTGGTGAATTTTATCAAGGAGAAACGACGTTCTTGTCCTTCTTCCTACGGGATTTGGAGCATTACATACGTCACGACCAAACAGCAGCGATCGGTTCAATAAAAAACAGTACCCACCTACCGTCGAGTGAATGAATCCTGATGCTGCGAGGTCACACAGTTTCTATGAAGTGAACCTGGCAGATGAATCAGACTATTAAAGCTGTGGAGTCAGACCTCTGTCATTTCATCCATCCATTTTCATCATCAGAACAGACGTCCTCCCCTCAGCTGCTCCTTTCTACATGGAGGAGCAGCGTCTCTACTCTGAGCTCCTCACCCTGTATCTAAGGAAGCATCCAGCCTCCCTGCAAAGGAAACTCATTTGGGCCTCTTGTATCGGCAGTGTCGGGAAAGTGACTTTTAAAACATATTCCCCTACAGATTACAGATTACACACACCAAAATGTAGTTTGTAACGTAATCCATTAAATTACTTACAGTGAGTAATGTAATCTGATTACTTTGGATTACTTGATTTTTTGTAGAGAAACAAAGACCAGGAAATTGTAACATAACGATGTTTTGTCTGATAAAAGAAAATAAAAAGTCCAGACTTTACTGAACCAAATTAAAAATATTATTGATAGAAGAAGAAGAAACACGTCCACACAGCAGGATTTAGTCCTGTTAAATCCTGGTTTAGTCCTGGTTTAGATCTTTTTTAGACCTGGTTTAGACCTGGTTTTAGACCTGGTTTAGACCTAGTTTAGACCTGGTTTAGACCTGGTTTAGTCCTGGTTTAGATCTGTTTTAGATCTTTTTTAGACCTGGTTTAGACCTGGTTTTAGACCTGGATTAGACCTGGTTTAGATCTGTTTTAGATCTTTTTTTAGACTGGTTTAGACCTGGTTTAGACCTGGTTTAGACCTGGTTTAGACCTGGTTTAGACCTGGATTAGACCTGGATTAGACCTGGATTAGACCTGGTTTAGACCTGGTTTAGACCTGGTTTAGACCTGACCTTTTTAGACCTGGTTTAGACCTGGTTTTAGACCTGGTTTAGACCTGGATTAGACCTAGTTTAGACCTAGTTTAGACCTGGTTTAGACCTGGTTTAGACCTGGTTTAGACCTGGTTTTAGACCTGGTTTTAGACCTGGTTTAGACCTGGATTAGACCTAGTTTAGACCTGGTTTAGACCTGGTTTAGACCAAAATGTGAAAACAGTAAAATCCCTCTGTGTAATCCATTTATTTCACCAAAGTAACTGTAATCCAATTCCCACTCACTGAAACAGTAACTGTAACTGAATACAGTTACTCATCATTTGTACTCTGATTACTCTGGTACATGTAATCTGTTACTCCCCGACACTGTGTATCTGTGATCTCGTCCTCTTGGTCGTTACCCAGAGCTCATGACCAGAGGTGAGGGGAGAAACGCAGACTGTAGACGTAAATCGAGAGCTTCGCCTTTCGACTCATCTTCCTCTTCACCACAACGATCCAGGCGCATCACTGCCGACGCTGCACCTGTCCACCTGTCAGTCTCACCCTCACTCGAGAACAAGACCCCGAGACACTTGAACTCCTCCACTCGAGGCAGGAGTCGACCGCACCTCTGTCAGACGCAGCTCTTTTCATTCTCCTGTGTCTGTGGCTCCGTTTATGTTTCAGTTTGTGTTACAGTTGGCACACGGCAAAAAGACTCGGCCACAATTTAACACATAAACACTTAAAAGTTGTGAAATTATCTGTAAATGCAGCAAGATCATTTTACTTTACAAAGTTCTCTTAAAATAAACGACTTTTAGGGTAGAACTAAGCGGAGTCAGGACTAATACATTTAAAAACAAGATGAATAACCTGATATAAGTTTTAGAATCTTAGCCAGACCAGAGAAATTTGCAGTGCAGTTAAAGGTTGTATAGAGGATTTTCCAAAGAACGAGAAATCATGTGTGAAACCACCTCCCCTCCCCCACAGCTCCTACGTAGAAACACCTCCTCCCTCCTCCTCCTTACGCCACAAACAGGTTTGTTTACAGCCGCTGCACATGACTTGTAAACAACTAACTACAGTGTTGGTTAAGCAAGACGGAGAAGTGAGGAGAGGAGAGAGGAGAGAGAGAAAGAAGAGAGAGAGAGAGAGAGAGGAGAGAGAGAGAGAGAGAAGAGAAGAGAGGAGAGAGAGAAAAAGAGGGAAGAGAGAGAAGAGAAGAGAGAGAAGAGAGAGAGAGAGAAGAGAGAGAGAGAGAGAAGAGAGGAGTGAGAGAGAGAGAGAAGAGAAGAGAGAAGAGAGAGAGAGAGAGAGAGAGAGAAGAGAGAGAGAGAAGAGGAAGAGAGAGAGAGAGAGAGAGAGAGAGAAGAGAGAGAGAGAGAGAAGAGAGAGAAGAGAGAGAGAGAGAGAGAGAGAGAGAAGAGAGAAGAGAGAGAGAGGAGAGAGAGGAGAGAGAGAGAGAAGAGAGAGAAGAGAGAGAAGAGAGAGAGAGAGAGAGAGAGAAGAGAGAGAAGAGAGAGAGAAGAGAGAAGAGAGAGAAGAGAGAGAAGAGAGAGAGAGAGAGAGAGAAGAGAGAGAGAGAGAGAGAAGAGAGGAGAGAGAGAGAGAGAGGAGAGAGAGAGAGGAGAGAGGAGTGGTGCGCAGA